TATCCAAACTCTTATTATGTTATTAAACGAGAACTTTTATCGTGCGTGTACACACATTGTGAGATTGGATTTTCTGAATATATGTATATGTCTGAGTGAAAGCAAAAATTTCGAAATAACTTTCAAAATATAACTCTATTTATAAAGCAGATTTATAAAGAATTCAAAAAATCTTATGAGCATATATATCTTTTGCAGGGTGCAAATTCCCATGGTCAACTTGGACAAGGTTTATTATCCGAGCAATTTGTTCTACCTCAAGAAGTTGATTTATCCAAATGTTCCTTGAAGCCAGAACTCATCAGGAAAATTGTTGGTGGTGCTGGACACACATTGATTTTAGACACGAATGGTCATGTTTATTCCTGTGGTTTAAACAACAAAGGACAAGCTGGAAACATCAACATCGAGCAAGAATATATTCTAATATTTCAAAGAATATGTGCTCTTGAACATGAAGTAGTGATTGATGTCTGCTGTGGATGGGACAGTTCCATGGCATTAACAAGGAATGGTGAATTATATGTATGGGGTTCCAATCGTTATGGACAATTAGGTTTGGATCCTTCTGTTTTTCCTTCAATACCTCATCTTCGCAAAATTTCATTTGACAAAAAAATAAAGAATGTTTCAATGGGTCTGCGACACACCGCCATAGTAACAGAGAATCATGAACTTTATGTTTGTGGATCAAATAATAGAGGACAATTGGGTTTGATTAATCCAGAAACCATGAAGCCTTACACTCTTCTTGGTGCATTCACCAAAGGTATATAACAAACCATACCTTGAATAATTTTTATTTTGTAAAAATAAATATATAAATTAAAAAATTCTAAAGATATGAAATTTCCTCGAATATCTATTAATATATTTTTTTATTATTTTTTATATTATTTTATAGTGTATTAGTTTTAATATTTACTTATCACTCTTATAAGTTTACACATTTTATATCATTTATTTTATCACTTGTAACTTAAATAGTCACGCCGACAACTTTTATTGAAAATACATTTTATTATAAAAAAATGAAAATATTTCCACTTAATTAAAACACAGGTGAACAGTTGCAGAACAGACAATGCAAGGAAACGTGGAAAATGTTACCTGTGGTCAATATCATACTATAGTCCTAATAAAAAGGCAAACATATAATATATATGTCTTTGGTGATAACAAGCACGGACAGCTAGGATTTTTTTCTAAAACTTCTTCTGAAACACGAATATTGCAACCTCTATGTATTCCGCTCTCTAGCATACAACATGATACACTAATTCAAATTCATACAGGCTGGAGTCACATAAATATCTTGAGCAGTAAGTAAACTAAATTCACTTTGTGTTTTTTCGCTACATATATTAAACTGTTTATATACATATTAAAATATACATATAATTCCAGATGGTATTATTTTTTCGTGGGGAAGAAATGACTATGGTCAATTAGGCCGTTCTTTACTGAAATCACAAAATGAAATTTCTACGGAAGAGAGACTTCAGTATATAGAAAATATCCCGAAAGTCATTCAACTTTCAGTTGGATCAGAGCATAATGTTGCTTTAACCGGTAAATTATTATATATGATAAAAATGTACAAATGCTAAAGAAATAAAAGACATGTCAAATAATTACAATTTTATGTAATTGGAATTTTATTTTATAATATATATATCATGATAAATAATTTAATTTTACAGATAATGGAGCAGTGCTGTGCTGGGGCTGGAACGAACATGGAAACTGTGGTAACGGAAACACGGAGAATGTTTTACGACCAGAATCTCTTCCAGTGCCATCTAATTCTGTTGTCATTCTCGTGGGTGCTGGCGCAGGACATTCATTCGCTGTGCTAAAAGACACTAGCTAATTGCAACATTATATTATTGCATAAATTTGTTATTTATTAAATATTAAATCGTATACCTGCAATAAAGTATTTTTATAAATATATCTTGATGTTGCTGGTCAATTCGTTATTTTATTGCAGTATTATAAAGCGAAGATAAGTAAAATCAATGATGTAAAATTCCTTATTCATTTTCCACATTTTATATACAGTAGATATAACGTAAGTTTCATTCTCTAATATAAAGATTAAATATAAATGCATAAAAACGATATTTTTACATAATTTAACTGTTAGTTTTATTTTTCTAATATAAAGATTAGGGGCTAATTGTTCCATCTTCGGGTAAACTATTTGGTAATTTATCTGTTACTGGAACAAAAGAATAACAACATAAAAGAGTAAGACAGTGAGCTAAAGTTTACCGAAAGATGAAATAATCCAGCGTAAATGTAAATGCATAAAGGCGATCTGATTTTGTTATGTAGACAAAACAGAAGTTATAAAATGAACAAATCTTTATCAAGAGAATAATAATAAAAATGATTATATTACCGCGAAACAGAACATAAGAAAAGTTATAATAGATCAGATAAAATCATCTTTCATAAGACAATCAGAAATTTATAATCAATCCTCTGCATAGTTAGCCCGAAGACAGTATAGAAAATATACGTATAACTTCACCTGCAGCAATACCACCTGCCAGTAGGCAACTGTCAATGAAACGTATTGGAAAGGAGACATTTGTTTCCTTCGCTTTGCGAGATAATCCCGCAGCAAAGGAACCTAACGTAAAATAGTTCGTTGAATTATTTTTTAAACAACACTTAATAAAAAGATGCTTCGATCACGTTCTCAAAGCAGCTTGTAGTAAGTTAAACCGAAAACATGTGATTTATTTTTAATTTTATGTCGCCATTTGACATATCATAAATAAATCATAAACAAACCTTAAATTAAATGTCTATTTTTTTATTAGTGAGCAAGAAGCGAAGTTTGTACAAGATCGCATAACTGGCGTGGAAAAACACTTCGCCGAGCTGTGCTCAATATTTGCGGCGTTCACCAGAAAAGCTGCCAGGTGCTCTTCTGACTAACAAACCATATCGATTATTTTTCCTTAGTGACATATTCTTATTTCCCATTGTTTTGACAACGATGTGCTTCGTTTCGTTCACTATTTACTAATTTATTTTTTCAGATTGCGTGATAAAAGCGATGAGGTGGCTAAAACAATACAAACTTACGCAGATTCTGAAGTCGTAAATCGATCAATGAGCGCAGGCCTAGCAAATTTTTCTGCAACATTATCAGTTATCGGTGATTATAGGTAAAACGTAAAACTAGATTTTGTTTCAAATAATTATGTTTTCTTCGTAATGCATAAAAAATGCTAACTTTTTTGTAAATAATTTTTACGTTTAGTATTGACATACATAACTAAAAAAATAAAAAATTATAGCGTTGCTATTTTCATTAATAATAAAATTTATAAAGGTCTTTATTTTTTTCTATTAAATCATAGCTTTTTATTACTCGACTGCGAAAAATTATCAGAAGACTTTTAACTAATCTTTTAAATAATCTTCATTTGATTTATCTGTGCTATTTTAATTGTATTATGTTTTATTTTTTGCTTTAACATATTATTTTGATTTATACTTTTGCTTTTAAAATTATCGATCTGCTCTACAGAGATGCGGAAGTACAAAGATTGGATTCCAAAGTGATTGTACCTCTTTCACAATACGCAATGATTTGCAAACATGCCCGCGATGATGTAAAAAACACATTTGCAGCACGCGACAGAGAACTTACAAGACGAAGACATTTGGACAAAGTTCGAGAAAGAAATCCCAGAAATCGTCAAATGATAGTATCCTTATAATTAAAAATTTATTTCAACATTAGTTAATTTTAATTATAACTTAATTTCTATGCCTTTCGTAACAATAAAGCAAAACGTTAAATTAATAATTAAGAACAAGATATTAATATTAATAAAATAATTTTAAAGTGACATAAAAAACTAGTTTGTCGTTTCAAGAATATCTTATATTATAAATCTTTAATTGAAAAAGAATATCAGTCTCAAGCTGAGTCGGAGCTGACGAAAGCGTCCATCGAAGTATCCCGAGTGGTAAAAGGCCTGGAGGAACAAATCGACTCATTTGAACGACGAAAGTTGCACGATTTGAAGTCTATACTTTTAGATTTTGTCACTGTCGAATTGAGCTTTCATACAAAAGCTCTCGAACTTCTGACCAAAGCATATCAAGATGTTGCAGCTATTGACGAAGTTAAAGATATTGAGGTGAGATAGAAGATCATTTCAATTTTTTTCTAAATTGTGTCTCTGGTTAAAGTTAAGAAAGAATTATATTTATAAAATATAGTAGTCAATATTGTTTATCCTTTAACATGCAGGACTTTCAAAACGCGAGAGGAGAAATGAACGGGGTAAACTTGCTTTAAATTGATATTTGTTATTATGATTTAATGAGAAAGATTTGACATTTCAATATTAAACTTTGCTGTTAAATGCTGATGCAATTTTATAATCATTATTCAAATAAAATATTACTTCTATATTTAGGAATTTCGAGACACATTACGAGTTCCCGATTCTGTTGCACGATTAGACACAGTCGGCAGAACTTCATTTCGACAGGCTTACTCGTTAACAAACTTAGCCACTCGATTCGCATCTTCGCCCTCGGCGTCACAGAAATTAGCTAATCGAGGAACCGAATCTGCTGTAGGTGTAAAATTTGAATACATATCGCTCTGCAGTTTATTTTTGGATTCTAATATGGCAAATTTTAGGATTCTATACGAACTGCATACACAAACTCTTCAGAGTCGGTTCAAGTTGAAGAATATCCAGATAGCACAGAGGAAACGGAATCAGAATCAATTCGAGAGAAGCCTGTGAGAACTAGGCAGAAATCTATGTAATTTCAATTCTCCTTTTAATATTTTGCATTTTTATCTTTTTAGAAAAGAGTGTCAAAACGCGCTGGATACAAAGTAAAGAAACGCTTCATTCTCAGACCCGTCCCAGCAATTCCTACATGTCAGAAGTCTTTAATGTCATCTATAATATATCGCATACCTTACAGATTGAATCAAACAAAGTAAACATTTTCTTACACTTGCATAATGCTTATTTGTATTAATTTAAACGTCTTTGTAAATGCGGTAGTAATGTAACATTGTTTTAAAAAGATAAGAGAAACTTCATTGAGACAAAGATAATATATAAGAATCAATGTAACCTGCACTCCATTGAAGTTGAGTAATCTAATTGTTATATTGGTTTAGTCGATATCTCAGTTATCTGAAACGAGAATTGAAATAATATCAAAATATATTTCTAAAAAAGTGTAAGTTTATTTTCTGTATTGTAACAAAAGGATGGATATCTCACTATCTGTATACATTTTTTTTCCATGACAATAAAGTACAACGATACTTTAGATAAGTCGTTATTTATAGATGAGTGCATTGAAGAAAGAACGAGCTTATTTATCACCTCCTTCGACTCCTGCTTGTGTCATTAGGTCTGCGATATTTTTTTCCAGGTCGTCTATTCTGTTACCCATTTCATCTAGTATTTCTTATTAAGGATCTTATAATAATTATATATTTGTAGTAACAATTAATACTATAAATAAACATATGTTAACTTTTATGAATAATATTATAATAAATATATGTTAGCTTGTATAATATTTAATTCAATTAATAATCAAATAAAGGGTGACATGAATACAGTTAAAAAATAAATATAGTTGAGGATATTTATATACAAATAATACACATATCAGGTTCTTTTTACCTACACTTTTGTGACTTTCTTGAATGGCTCGTCTTCTTTTTTTTTTTTTCAACAAAAAAGGAGATGAACCATGCAAGAAATTCAGCTAAAAAGAACACATTTATTAATCTCTTATAAACAACTAGTTGGAATATAAAAGCATATGCTAATAAAATTTTAAAGTCACATAGACACAAAGTTGTCTTCCTGATTATTGAAATTAACAGAAGCATGACTTATACAAAATTAATAACAAAAAAAAACAGTTATACTTTGCTTTTTACTACTTACGTTCAGAGATAAATAAGCTACTTAGCGATACAGCAAGAAACTTGACATGCACTAATAGAGACAATCCCAGTTACATGATACTATATGACAAAATGTCAACACATGCTTTTTCCACAAATACCGCTTCAAGCTTGCAGCACCGTTTTAGGTTAAGCATGGTTAAGCAAAAAAAAAAGGATATTTCTTCCTATGATCTGGTCAGACATGGTTTGAAACTTGTCCTGCATGTTCTGCAACAGCGTTTGCACCTGCAAAGGAGTCAACGTAGCGTCAGGATCGCGTCGCGACGGATCGTCCCTGGATGCGTCATCGTCATCCTGTGTGTAAATACGCGGACTCACGTATTGCGTCAGCTCCTGCATGTTCTTCGGATCGGCGCTGTTGCCCATCCCATAGCTGTCGACGTCCTCGCCCTTGTGATCCTGTTTGACATCGGCCATCCTCGACGTTTTAACCGGAGGGGGAGAAAACGAGAATTAAAGCTCGGCTCGTCCGGTCCGGTCCAATGCAATGGATCCTCCCGAGCGAACGCGTGCGACGCCGTATCTAATTATCTACCTGCCGTGTGCTCGCTCGCGGTCTTTGGTGTCGATCGGTGCTAAGCACCGTCGATTGATCCAACAATGTACTCGTTTCGATCCCCGACGACGTTGACGGGACGCTGGTAATGAATGACGTGAAATCCGGAAATTAAATTTTCAAATGTTGTCTCTTTTTTGCACAAATTGCACAAATTTTATTGCAACTTTTTCCTTTAATTAGAAATGTAAAAAAAAACCAAGATTTTTCCTTGCAATTAGAAGTAAAAACTTAGTAAATTGAACATCAGTTTGTACACTGAAAAAATATTTTTTATCAAAACTCTGAAAAAAGATGGTTCTCCGTGGCTATCGCTTAGTTATTATATTATATATTCATTGTTTACAACTATTTTTGCACAAAAATCTTTTGGATGAATGCAAAAAACTTTAAATTAATTTTATAACAATAATAATATATGTCGCCATATGTCCAAAAAAAATAAATCGGAGTAAATAATTTTCAAGACTAAAGCAAGACTCTAAGCAGAACAAGTCATTATATATGATATCAAAATAACTTCAAATTATTAAAAATCATTTTTCAATAATTTCAGATTTATTTTAATATTTTGACGTTATTGTTTGACTTGTTCTGTTTGAGAAAGTAAAGAATTGATTTTTACTCAATTTTTTACTCAGATTTTTTATCTCTACTCCCTATACAGTATAGAATTTGCAGCAATATTGTAACTTTTGTGCTGTAGGAATTTTAATCATGCTGTGGACGCAAAAGCAAAAATTTATATTTAAAAGTCTAATAAAATAATATATGCTAAAAATTTCCTAAAAAAGTTTATACTTTTGTTACTCTTGATTTTTATTTTGCCAACGTATGACACGTGTGGATTTATGTAATTTGTAGATTTACAATAAGAGAAAAACATGCTTCTCACGTGTATACATTGTAAAGAAACTAGAGCTTATTTTTAAATTAACCTTAAATCATGAGAACAAATATATGCTGGTAAAGGCAGTTGAAAACGTGACATATACGAGTCTTCCGCAATTTGTAGAACGTCATACGATTGATGAATCATATTTTATGCTCCGTATTCAAACTTGTTTGTCTTTGACTTTATTTTGACGCAATTGACGCTTATTGCAAAATCGGCAATAGAATAGAACTATAAACTGACCATAAATCTATTTGTTTCAACTTTTATGTCCTTGTGCATTTTATTTCACACAAACAAATTTAAGCATCTCGGAAAAAAATAATAAAATCTAATCTGAAACGTAAATCTGTTTACGTAATTGCAACAACAGAATCCGTATTTACTCTTCTCTTCTTTAACGTCATAACTTGCGTTTATCGATGATTTAAATCGCTCCGTCTAATAATATGTTTTTCAAATATGTAAATACAGGAAGAGGAAATTACGGTCTATCAGAATAATGCTTACGAAAGCGTGCCAATAGAATAATACTTTTTGTCCTCATCCGTCGCTTCGATTGGCTGATCGCGATATCATCTACTTCGACGCATGAGGCGATATCAGCTGTTTACTATAACTGAAGCAAACGAACAGTGACGAGCATAGGATATTTCTACTTTGTTAGATCAAGAGACGGAAGAGAAATTGTTCGTCGAGTAACAGCTAAGTTCATTTAATTTCCAAGATACACGTGTTTCTTTCCTGCGAGAATCCGCCTGTCGTTTTAAAATCGTAGCCGCGACAAACAATGCGCCTGGCAGCTCTCCTAAGCGTGATAATTATTCTCTTGCTCATGCAACTGGTGAGACCCTGGCACGCCAAAACTAAACAAATATCGCCCGTTATTTTAGGTGAGTCATAAAAGCGTCTTATTATTGTCCATATACATCATATTTTATCTGAGATATCTTGGTATCCTTAAGATGTTCAGGAAGGGCATAGAGACGTTCTCTGGATGTCTTTAGGATATTCCTTGGAGATCCGTGATATGTGTATGAGATATTTTTGAAAGCGTTTACTCGTCGAAAGTTATCATGACCCTTTCTGTCTGCACTTTAGGGCTCGAAACGGCTCTGAAGTGCCGCTTTGTATGATTATCTCCTTTGATGATATGACTCTTATCGTAGTGTCATAAAACTTCAGAGATATCGACTTATTAAGACATTACAAAGAGTACGTCTACTTACAAAGGAAAACGATATTCCAGTTCCAGGTGATGGCGGCAGTCAGGTCGAGGCAAGGATTAACAAGTCATCAGTGGTGCATTATATCTGCACGAAAATATCCGACGATTATTTTAATTTATGGCTGAACATGGAACTACTTGTACCTGTCGTGATAGACTGCTTTGTACGATCATTTTGATTTACCATGCATAGCTCTAGTCTTTTTCTAGCTGAATAATTTGAAAGTAATTTTTAATCCTATTACAGATAGATAATCTTAAATTGAATTATGATAATGTAACAAGGACGACTAGCAATCAACCTGGAGTAGATATAAGGATACCAGGATGGGGTAATCCATTTGTAGTTGAATATATAGATCCCAGCAGGGCCTCGCCAGGCTCGTATTTCAAGGATATTGGAAATATGTTGGTAAACGATTTAGGATACATCAGGAATTTATCGATACGTGGTGCACCTTATGATTTCAGAAAAGGACCTAGTATGTAGAAAGATATCAATAAATTGTTTCATACAGGCATTACATGCTAGCATTTAGTATCATATATTTTATTCGATTGTACTACAAATTTACCGAGATAAAGACCTTAAACTACAGGTGAAAATGAAGAATTCTTTGCTAAATTGAAAACTTTAGTCGAAGAAACATATATAATGAATAATAATACGCCAGTGACGCTACTGGTTCACAGCATGGGTGGACCTATGACTCTTATAATGTTACAACGTCAAAGTCAGAAATGGAAGGATAAATATATAAATGCCTTTATCACACTTAGTGCTGTATGGGCAGGATCTGCCAAGGCTATTAAAGTATTTGCCATTGGTAAGCGTATCAATCTTATTTGTATAATCTTATTTGCTTGTAATGATTAATAATCAATTATTGTTGAATTATTGATAAATAAGCAGATAACTTGAATTCAGAATATAAATTTTTCAATTATTATCTGTTTTATGAGATATAATGCTTTACATACACATTTTTTTGTGTCTAATACAGGAGATAACTTAGGTGCATATTTTCTTCGTGAAAGTGTATTAAGAGACGAACAGATAACGAGTCCAAGTTTAGGATGGCTGTTACCTTCAAAACTACTTTGGAAAGACACAGAGATTTTGGTGCAATCGGATCAGAAAAACTATACGTTGAGCAATTTACAACAATATTTTATGTACAGTGGATTATTTAGACTATTATATATCTGCAATTATTATATATTTTGTCCGCAAATATTTTTAAAGAAATTTTCATTTACAGAGACATAGACGTTCCTAACGCTTGGGAATTCAGAAAAGACAATGAGAAATATCAATTGGATTTTACGGCACCAGGTGTTGAAGTACATTGTTTATACGGCAACAAAGTGGACACAGTAGAAAAGTTTGTATATATGTATAACATTTTGTTTTATTTATATTCATAATAAGAGAAGCCGTTTAAAATTCGTATTTATTTTTTGCAGGTTGTACTATAAACCAGGTACGAGTATAAATGGTTACCCTAAATTAATAGTTGGAGATGGCGATGGAACAGTGAATATAAGGAGTTTGGAAGCATGCACACTTTGGCAGAGGTCACAAGTAAAACAAATTTATAATCAAAGTTTTTCTGGAGTAGATCATACTGAGATTTTAAGAAATCGTGATGTTTTGGCATATATTAAAACAGTTTTAAAAGTATAATATAATTTTTATTAGTAATAAATTTTAAAGAATGACAAATAGAATTTAGTGACGTCACTATATTCTTGTAACATTTTTTGCTCTTGCTACCGATGAGATAATAGTATCTCGTCCGTGCTAATCTTGATACGAATTAATATTAGAACTTCAATATAAAATGATTTTAACAAGATTAAAAGATTTCATTAATTTCATGAAGTAAATTCATTTCTTGAAAATTTATTGACTAAAAAAATACGATAGCGTATTGAAAATATATTTTTATTAACTACATTGTTCATTAAAATATATCATTACATAACATAGCAGCAAATATCAATTGGGAATATTATAAAGTGGTGCAGTTACAAAAAACTTTTTCTAAATGTCAATACTTCCACTCATTTACTGGCATATAGCCATGCGCTCTCTCTCTATAAATATAATACTTTTATCTCCTCCTTATGTGTACATATTTATATATTCAGTATATATTATCAATTTTTATATTGCATGATCTCACATGAAACAAAGAGTGATTAACATGACTAGCGATATATAGTAATAATATGCTATATATAAAGTGTTTCTATTTGTATAATAACATATTTTTTTAGTCGCTGATGCAGCACAATTAGAATAACAATGAAATCCAAGTTTCTTAAGTTACTAGTCATAAATTGATTATATTATAATTATATACGTTATATTTACACTGATTCATAATTGTGATGAATACTCATAAAATACTAAAGAAATTTAATGTAAAAAATATTTCCTTAAGAAATCTGGTAGTGTTTCGGCATCAAGCCAAGCAGTGATACTACCGTGTTCTTTTACACGAACCGACTATATTAACAAACGTTGATTTTAAAATGTTTACAACTTTAAAATTTTCTTATTGTAATACACAATATGTATATATAGTAACTTGTATTTTTTTGGTATAAATAAGTCTATATATTTTAGTAAATACATGGATTTACAATAAACTTTTGTAGAAATTTAATGTACTGATAAAAATATATTTATCAGCACATTAAATTTCTACAAAATTACATTCATGTATAAAATGGTGAAAAATAAATATTCTACATAAAATGTAAGTAATCGATATCATATTCTTTTGATATCAAATCTGATAAACTAGACAATACATAATTACATATATATTTCTAAGA